TTCAAAGGCGTTTGCCTATATTTTCTTTAATAAACTTGACTTGACTTGACACCTAACAGGGGGAGGAGGGGATGAAGTATTTTGCCCTTTGTTGCGAGCGTATATCATGTGACCTGGTTAATTCAACAAACAGGTGACGAATGGAATTCATCTAAGCCTACCTCCAGAGCCTGTGTGAATTCAGGACGCGAGAGCTTCATGTCATTGTCTTGGTCGGCTCGCAGAAGAAAGGGCTTGAAATCCTTATGAAATATGCGGGCAAAACTTTTCACCACCGCCGTGTATTTGTGCGGCTCGGACGGATCTTGCACGTAGAAGGAAAGAGAGTACCACGCAAGTTCCCTGTTCAAACTCTTGGGACCGCAAACGATCGTAAGCTCTGGCAGCGCAGTAAGAGCCTGGCCATGAAGCAGCCTGAAGCTTTCATTGACTTCAATGTCCTGGAGCGAGAGAGCAAACCAAAAGATAATAAAGCAAGGGATTAAAAGTATGAAAGCAGTCACTGAGTTGATCGGCCGATGTGCCGCTTCTGTGCGGCTATCAGAGGAGACGGGTCTGAGCTAGTTTAAATATGATTTTCCTGATAGTGCGATCGGGAATACTTAAGGCGGAAGCTTGCCTACGAATGCGTCTATACAGTCTAAATTGGATTGTGTGTTACCTCGTGACATGAACAAAAACTAATCGAATACCCCCGAAGTGGGGCTGGTTAGTTGACGGTATCGTGTTGGCAGAATTCCGAAGTTTCTGTGGGATACGGAAGAGTCCATCCAAGAACCCGAGATAGGAGTGTCCCAACTGTTACGAACCAGTAAATAAGAACAAAATCGTTTGCAGATAAAAGCACGTGCTTGTTCAAAGTCTTATTTAAAAATTGCCAAGTTCATGCGAGGCATATTTAACCAAGTAAAACAAAGAGGCAGGTCAGTGTCACTACATTTCCAAAATGGGCAAGAAGTGGTTGCGTTAGAGTTGAGACGGGTATGCAACAAGCTACCTAGGAGTCGTATCCTTTCAAACGTGCTTTTGAGCTACCACAATCAACTAAAAAAGACAGCTTTGGGGGTTACCAACGAGCAGATTGCAGGATCAGCTTTTTCTTTCACTTTTTGTGCAAATTGTCACTGATACGCAATCCGGGTTAATTACTCTGGTTCGCGTGGGTTGGCAAATCAGAGCATCATAGGCATGACTAGGTGGAAGTCTAACTTCGAATCAGGTGTCGATCACAAGCCAGCCTCAAGTTGTATTGACATTGACTTACCACTGACACTGGGAAGAGAGAAAAGAGAAGAAGGACAGTAAATGAGGTTTAGAGAGCGAAAGAAAAATAGATATAAAGATAGCAGTAACGGCCTGACTCTGAAGCAGCCCGAAGCCTTCATTGACTTCAATGTCCTGGAGCGAGAGAGCAACAGAAAAACCAAAAATATAATAAAACAAGGGATTTAAAGTATGAAAGCAGTCAGTGGGTGGATCGTAACAAGTCAAATAAAACCGGCCGATGTGTAGTGACTAGCTCCACGCAAAGTGCACTTGTGAACGCTTGTCATAAGTAATTCAAGTCGAAGTGTATTTGTCAACGCTTGCTGCTTCGGGGCTCTGGAACAGCCAATCACAGGCCGACTCACAGAGGACCTCATGTGACGACTGCCGGGCAGACATCACTTCAGAATTGTCCACTGGCTTGCGGTTGTGCGGTCGTCTGACAGTCAGTTTTCCTATTGTCTATTCTCTCATTCCTTCTGTACAGAATAAACTCTTTCTATCACTTTGGCCTTCCATGATTTCTCTTCGCTTAAGGAATCTGGCCTGAAGATCGCAGGTGCTAGGGTTTAACTTACTTTACACCCTGTGATAAATGTGCC